GTTTCTACCTATTAGATTGTGTTTTATTAAAGTCTACACCTACCCCAACCCTACCTGCCCTTACAATAATGCAGATACATTAAATATTGTTATTTAGCGTGAGAAAAAGGACGCAATATTGATGTGCGCATGCGCAGTAAGCCCTGGTAGAACAATCCGACGGGTAGGATAAAACATAAGACATAATAAATACCTAGACGCCTCATTGGCCGCTTTGACTCGTTGCTGCGATACGTCAACGCGTCCGCCATGTTTGTGAAGGCAAGACTGCCTTAAAAATAAATGGAGGTAAACGGAGGAGCTGCGGGTTTTCTGGATAAAAACACGATAACGTTTACATTCATTGAATTTATTTAATACACGAGTTTCACAATTTGAGTTGAATTACTGAAATAAATGAACTTTTCCACGACATTTTAATTTATTGAGATGCACCTGTACTCTTTGTAAATAAGTAACGTTAGTGAAATTAAAGAGAGATGCTTTAGCTCCATCCCTAATCCTGACAGTCTGGCATTGTCTTGTCAAAGTGCTCACTGTACATATTGTGCTCATAACACCATTTACTTTATGATATAAACTACAATATAAAGTTAAAACTTAAGAATTAACTTAAACTTTGATTTCATATAAAGTCTCAGCTTTCACAGCTTACTAGCGATATCGCTAGCTATTAATAGTCTGACACTGGTGGCTAATTAAGCTGTCAACATAAAGCTAAAAATGACCAAAAAACATACAGAAACAACTGTTCAGTCTTACCTGTGAAATATAATATCCCGAGATCTGTTTTTATTATTGTGCGACGGTTTGTAGATGCCCAAGCTGCCAACGAGTCAGGTATGTTTTCGCCTGTCCCGATATGAGAGTTATGGAGAGTTGCCTTCACCAATACGGCGGCGACGTTGACGTGCGGTCGAGCGGCCAATGAGGCGTCTAGGTATTTATTACCGGTATGTCCATGGGATAAAATGTCAGGACACCGGCTCCAGGCATGGGCAGGGGTGGGCTGAGCCCACCCAAATGACTGTCTTACCCACCCAATCAGAATTAGCCATTCCCAAATCAGAATTCCATTTACCCGAAATGGGAAGTTTTTATATTTAAAATGCAGTTAGTTAGGCAACATCACACAACGTTTTCACCATTACGACTGTTTAATAGTTCTATAAACAGTTCAGTAAGAAAATACAATAATATTAGTTCACTTACATTTTAGGCGGAACACAGCGCACCTCACAGCAAACAGCCGATTCATTGCTGATTGATTCCGTGTTTAGAACGAATCGGTTGAGTCAAAGTTTCTTTAGCCCATGCATAAACATCTGATGAATCTGCCGTTTGAACGAATCGTTTGAATGAACGACTCAATGACTCACTCATTAAACGCTCACTACTGGCACCTACTGGCGCTTTCATTTAGTTGAAAAGTATTATTTCCACCATCATTTCTTGTTTGTATATTCAAAAATATTTTAAATAATCTCATATTATTTAATGCAGTTGTATTTTTCAGTGTAAATGATTTAATTTGATAACGTATAGATAATCACATTATTATAATTGAATTTATAGATCAAATGTAAGAATCTGAAATGAAAGTATTAATGAGATTAGTGGGAAAACGCCCTCTCTAATAAAGGTAAAAAAAAATGTAAAAAAATGCCCTTGGATAAAATATAAAAAAACACGCAGATTTATGTCACAGCTGATAGAAAACTGATGAGAATATTGCTTCAGAATAAATCATATTTGCAAAAAACAACACACACACACACATATATAAGCTCGATACCATAGAGCCCACCCACATAACAAATCCCAATTTAACCCCTGGTTATCCCCCATGTGCTCCCATGAGAAAGCCTTTTTTTACACATAGAAAACATTTGCCTCCCACTTCTGCTTTGTACTTTGTGGTTGTTTTCTTGCAGTAACTGTAAAGCCCTGTGGTTTTTCACTGCAGATTCTCACAGCTACGCATGCACACCAAATGAAACATCAGAAATGCCGGAAGGTTGTTTCATCTGAATACATATTTATTAGATAAATATTAGGATGTCACAGCATCTAACTACATACAGTTTTGCAAGACTAAAAATCACAATTAGTTTTTTGTTGTTTTTTTCTTCTTTTGACCAGTTTAGAATATGAAATGATTGTACAACAGAATGTACAAGCAAAGACAACTGCAACGTTTGGTGCCAATCACCTCAGATTGTACCTCATATTTGTTTTTAAATTTCCTGATCATGATATCAAAATTGTACAAACTCTGGATTTTGGTTACAATCTTTTGGAACCGCTCCTGGCCCCGTGTCCCTATTGTCCAAATTATTTCCCCAGGATTTTCTTCATTATCTTCTGTAGCACCTTATTAAGTACAATAAATGGAGCAATACACGTAAGCTAAATATTACACAAATGTAAAACAAATGTGTCTCTTTTTATCCCCTCCCCAAATTCCTCAGTCATGTGGGATGAATATTTTACAAAAGTGAACAAATGCTTAGAGGTTCCACAGACGCTAACAAACACAGATTCATTTTACCCAATTTAGATTCTGATGGGTGGATGCAAGCTTTACAAATTCTAAATACACAATGCACATTCCCCTGGGGAAAATGAATACACTTCTGTTAACGTGTCTCTATTTATCATTTACATATGTACATGCATCCCTAATGTGCCCCTTCCCCCCTTTTCCTTCGACCCTCACTGAACCCTCACCTGTGGCTGAGTAGTGAACACACCGTCTATTTCATTCAAACCTTTCTGTTCCTGCCCGAGCACTCACTGCCTCTTCAACGACTGTACATCGATAGTACGTGACAGCTCAGAGCCGAGTCTTTAAGTTCAGTTTATGCCTATTTGTGTCTACAAAGTGGGAACGAATATGTGGTAGTGCATCTTTGAAAAAGGATATACAAGTGAACTACAGACAAACGCTATAGAACTTGAACCCACGTTTTCCTGTTGGGAGTTCTAAGTATTTAAATTGTCAACGACAAACATCATTTTTGTACATAATTCTACACCAAGAAGAACAGGGAAAAAAAACAAACAAAAAAAAACTAATATTGCAAATCATAAAAAAATAACTTAAAATGGAAACATTTTTCAATGGTGATGTTTCATCCAACAAAACACTTCTCAAACATTATTCAATTGTACAGATGTCAGCCTTCTTCAACAGTCTTTGAGTAACATCAGTATCTCGGAAATGTCGTTACAAATATCATAAATACTGACAATTATTCAAGCGGGCCATTTTGATTTAAAAACAAAAACAAAGAAATCTTATAGAAAATCCATCTTGTACACATGAACGTTGTTAACCTTCACTAAGCTGCTGATATAAAAGTTTGATTGGATTTTTACTGAAATGTACATTTTCTGTAAGAATTGAATGCATTGATGGGTATTGAGATAATATATATCTTCATTATATAATTGAATTAAAAAGTAAAAATCTATAAATATATAACATTCTAACACTTTCTTCATTGTTTGCTGTGTAATAACTATGATATTACATGTAAACAAATTGCTAAAAGTGAAACACTATACATTTGATTAAATTCTATGGGTAACAATTTAAAAATGGGCTTGTCAAAATAGGTTTGGGCCACCTTGTCAAATCAGGGTGCATAACTTTGGTAATCCATGGACATCTTGTGATAAATGTACACATTTTTGTACATTTTTACAATTGTAACAACAGAAACAAACAAATAATTACCATTATATGAACAATATATTGTGCATTATAAAATAAAACTTTAACACAACAGTTCATGAATAAAAGGCTGAATTAAAACAGAACAGAAGAAATGATTGAGGAAAAAAAAAACAGTATCACTTAAAATAAGGGGCCACTGGCAACAGTGAATGTTTCAACATTGTATGCAGTTTGTCAGAAGAGGGGTACAAACATCAAGGGCCTAAGACGACCAAGCCTCATGCATGAAGAGAACTCACAGAGAAGACGGATGACACAAGACTGACTTCCCTTTGAAATGTGAATTGCTTTCTTCTTGCTCTGTGACCGCTAGTGTGGAGAATCCACAGGACGTTGCGGGAGGAGGAACAGTCTGTCGGAAGACGCACAATATTATGGGTACAGTGCTGAAATGTTTGCAATTCTGTCTCGAGAAGGAAAAGAATGCATGCCGTGATGCCCTCTAGCATTTGTTTAGAACATGATGCATATGTCTGAAGGTGCTGGACATATGAATCACATTACAAAATGAGGTGCAAAGCTGCGCGGTGTACTAGAACAGAACACATTCTCGTGTCCTGTGGCGTGAGAGTTTTTGGAGGACTTTCGCAAAACTCCCATCATTAGTCTCTGGGATGGGAGGGTTAGATCATTCTGGTGATTCCGAGATTATCTTTTTTACCTTTTATGGTCTTCTTTACAGGCTTCCAGGTGCAGTTTGACGCATTCTCTTGTGCTTTTTCGAGGGAGATGGACAGACAAACAGTGTGGACATCCAGCAGACAAGGACTTGGGAAGCTGTGGTGGTAGAGCTTGGAAGAACAAACCTTCAAGAGATTGCGGACACACAGAGGCCGGTACAGGAAGAAATATATATATATATATATATATATATATATATTCTATTCAGGTCTTCTTTTCACAAAAGGAAAAAAAAATCTGAATTAAAAATGCTACAATACTTTCCTAGTGAGCACACACACAGTTCTGTGTGACGTATTCATATGAACTGATTATAGCTGCACATGTATTTCCATTAGTATTGAAAGATATCACTTTAATGCCAACCAACATGGCTGCCATATATGTGTGGAAAAAGTTGCTTGTAAAAGAGTGAGATATTTACACGAGGAAGAGGCAAAAGGATGGCTGTTTCCTGTTTGCAAAGTACAGAGTCAGTCTTCAGGTGCCTCTCGATTCCTGACAGCCAAACAAATTAGGACCTCCGCAAAAGGCCGACTGAATAAAGTCAGTTGTTCTCAAAAAGGGAAAGCAGATCGTCATTGCTGCTGCTTGGGAGGTCAGGAGGGTCTAAGTATGACAGCAACTCGTCTGGGTTCGCCAGTTCTGGCAGAAGCTACAGAGAGAGACAGACAGACACATTTACGTTACAATCTTGCAAATGACCATAAAGAAACTTAAAAATACTGGGAATATACACAGAAATATACTGGGTTCAATACATGTTAAGCTCAGATGACAATATTTGTGGCATGATATAAGAAGGAAAAACAACAACAACAAAAAACTTTTGATTCAATCCTTGTAAAAAATAAAATAAAAAATGAGGTTATAATGAGGCTCTGAGAATAGAAATGAACTGGGACAATTTTTGGCTAATAATTAAAGGGTTACTCCACCCCAAAATGAAAATTTTGTCATTAATCACTTACCCCCATGTCATTCCAAACCCGTAAAAGCTTTGTTCGTCTTCGGAACACAATTTAAGATATTTTGGATGAACAGCGGAAGGCTTGTGACTGTCCCATTGACTGCCAAGTAAATAACACTGTCAAGGACCAGAAAAGTATGAAAGACATCGTCAAAATAGTCCATCTGCCATCAGTGGTTCAACCATAACGTTATGAAGCGACGAGAATACTTAACAGACTTTAAATAACGACTTTATTCAACAATTCCGACTCCTCCGCGTCTAGTAGCGCCATTTTGGAGAGTATCCACTGAACGCAAATCCGTGTGGTGCGGCTGACACAGAACAGCATACGCGGTTTGCGTTCAGTGGATACTCTCCAAAATGGTGCTACGGTGACGCGGAGGAGACGAATTGTTGAATAAAGTCATTATTGTTGTTTTCTTTGCGTACAAAAAGTATTCTCGTCGCTTCATGAAATTCAGATTGAACCACTGATGGCAGATGGACAATTTTGACGATGTCTTTCATACTTTTCTGGGCCTTGACAGTGTTATTTACTTGCCAGTCACTGGGACAGTCACAAGCCTCCCGGTTTTCATCCAAAATATCTTAAATTGTGTTCCGAAGACGAACAAAGCTTTTACGGGTTTGGAACGACATGGGGGTAAAGTGATTAATGACAAAATTTTCATTTTGGGGTGGAGTATCCCTTTAAGCTAATAATTTTATAAATGGCAGGTAAATTAAATTTGTCAAAAGTAGTGTTATTTGAGCGTTATTTGTTGTTTGAGTATTATTTGAGCTGTAAAGCTGTTTAAATAATCATTTAGAGGTTTATGGCAATAATCTTTTAGGGTATATGGCATTAAGCTGTCAAGACATTCTAAAATTGGATATAACTTTAAACAAAGATTTAGTAAGTACAATTTTTATATTTTAATGCTCGCAGACTCAATTTAAATTCTAAATGTTCAATTCCATTGTAATTTTCTCATTGTAACCCAGAGATTAATTTCTGTGGTAATTATGTCAACATTATGCCTCAAATGCTCAAAAGACTGAGCTTAACTTGTACTGAATCCAGAATATTCCTTAAATCAGAACTTTTCAGATTGCTCAGAGCTTTGGACCATGACGAAAGCGTGAGTCTTACATGACTGTGTGAGAAATGTAAGTAGCACATGACTCTAGAAATGGAAGAAGCCCATACAACCATCAGTGTATATACTCACATCCAGAGAAGGCTCGGGCATGTCTGCAGGTCCCTGGCCACCTGCCTGCCCATCGGCGGCGGGATTGAAGGTCATGTCGGCATGTGGGTGACTGTTTTGGCCTGGCTGCTGGGGGGGCAGGGGCTGGCGTGGGGGCTGGGAGGATGGGGGGCCGGTGTGATGCAATGGCTGAGCTGATTGGCTGTTGGGGTGAGGAACTGCGTGCATGCCTGGCTGCATGGAAGCATGGGATTGATCAGCGCTCACGGGACGGGGCATCTGCGGAGGGAGGAGAGAGGAGCGATGAGTCTATCTGCATAAAGTGGAGCACTCCGACAGAGAGAGCTCGAGTGGCAGCCATAGACAGACAGAGAGCAAGACAGGTGCCATGCAGATGATTCCAGAGCACATACACCTTCATAAAACGAAGATGATTTGCAAAACAATATATTTGACAAATTCATCTACGCAAAACCGAAGTATACTTTGGTCTTAATACTAAGAGGAAAATAGTTCATTTGCATACTTTTGGGCGATTTAGATTTTTCGAGTTTGAAATCAACACATAAAAACAGAGACCTGCAGATTGATTAGTAAGAAGATCATTGCTCACAGCAGGTGTAAAATATGAGACTTTTATTTTGAAACACTTTATGTTAGTATTAAAAGTAATAATGTTAATGGCAGTACTGAACTGGTAAGCCAGCAGGCAAAGTCTGACAGTAATTTTCTCTCAAGTTATTTCCGGAGGTGCATACATGCTTTGATAGCTGTAGCGGTGAGGCTTTAAAAGGGGTGAATTAGGGACCAAACCTCTTAGACAAAGTTTACCATGCTAACACAGAATGCAAAATTTTTTCTTTCACAAGCTACAGATTCATCCCTTATTAAGATATTTTAATGCAACCTGAAAGTCAACTGAAAGTCCAGGTAACCAAAACTTAAAAGATTCAAAAAGGTTATAAAGGCATTATAAAAGAAATCCATTATGAATTGAGTGGTTTAAACCAAGTCCTGTAAACAGGTTTGATCACTTTATATAAACAGATTTCATTTTTATTTTATATACATTTTTAAACAATGATCGACATACATACATAACGCACATTACATTTGGTAAACATGGAAGCCCAAACGTGCATGTGATGCTCAAGAACCAATGAGATTTCTTCTAACGCCTGACACACAAAAATTAAAAGTAAATGATGACAATTATGATGACAATGAACTAACCCTTTAAGGTATTAGCCACTTCCTTCCTTCCCTTTTTTTTTTTTTAAATGCATCATTTTACTCTAGTATCATTGGACCTCAAATTTTTAAGGAGATTGTGTGTGTGTGTGTGGGGGGGTCTCTATCTTGGAGTAATTTGTTACCAATTTTAATACAAAAAAAGTAAAATATGTCTCAAACATCAGCTCTTGTTGCTTGGAAACCTAAGGGTATGAAGTGATTTACCGAGTCGGGCATGCTGTGGGCGAGAGGCTTGTCGGGAGCCATGAGGCTGTTGGGCACGTCTGGAGGATGTGAGAGTTGGGGTCCGTGCATGAAGTCATTCATGGGAGCTCCGCCACCAGAGTTACTGTGAGAGAAGTCAAAGTTTCCATGGCCCTGGTAACTATTGCCTGATGCACAAAACAGAGAAACGGTAATGAGGAGCGATGACCTCAGAATCGCAGAGACAAAGAGCTAGAGAGGTTTAGACAGCTTGGATGGCAAACCAGCCTGTTAAGAGCTCACAGGCGCAAGTTCTTCTGACTGTTACGATTGAAGGGAAAAAATTAAGCGTACCTAAACAATGAAGCTTGTAAAATGCTAAGGACTGTTTTATGAGACAGACAGAAAGGAAAAAACAGAATCTGATCAGGTACTGACCTCTACCTTGGCCCCCATATTCGCCATTGTTTCCTCCGTGCTGAGGGGGGAGGGGGGTGTAGGGTGAAGGGCCGGGACCCAGCTGGGCGATCATATCCATCACATTAGGCATGATCATTTGACTGGGACTCATGGTTTTAAAACGCTTGGCCAGAGGGCCATCTGGGTCCTCCTTTATATGAATGTCTGACTTTATGGCCACCGGCCTCCAACTACACGTAGGGTCGATGGTGACCTCTTCAAACTCCGAACTGCAAGAATGGAACAACATTCATGACTGCGAATAATGGGATGTTTATAATTTAACAATCATATCTTGGGTGCATTTTTACAGGGCACTTACTGAACTGTGTGATCCAACGTTTGAGTGATAAACTTACTTTTGAATTGCATTGAGAATTCCCCACATGTACTGATCCACCTCCAGCCCTTCCAATAATGCTGTTTTACTGGGGACAGACAGAAACATATAAAACACACAGCCAAGAGGAACAGCGCATCACATTTATTTGCGAGAGAGAGAGAGAGGGAGAGAGAGAGAATTGCAGTAACAGTGGCATAGGATTGTGGGATTTTCGCACAATTTGTTTTGATTCACACATTTGCCACAAGTTTTGCATTGATGATGTGGGAAATCCCCAAACACATTTATTTACATAATGCAAATGAGTGAGAATCTAAAATTATCATTATGATAATCAGTATTTTTATTGTTTTGTAGTAATAAGTCTAAACATCCTTAAAATGAGGAAAATAACAAGATGATATACATTTTTCCTAATAAGTTTTTCTAGTTTTTCCTAAAAAATGTTTTACACATTTGTCATATAGGTTTTGCTTGTTACAATCATAAACATCAACATTTATTTTAATGACTCTGATAAGGAATTATTATCTTAAATCCGGGTTTCCCAAATTGTTCATGAGGGAACTGTAAGGTTTGTGAGTTGATCATTAATTCAGTTATTAAAATTAAATAAATACATACAAAATATACATATATATATATATATATATATATATACACACACACATCTCAAACAGTTTACCTGCATGACATGTGACCACTAATCAACATCAGAGGACCGTGAACATGTGAAAATGTGGTTGAACTATTGAAATATTAACTTAATTCTCAGGGGGTTATTCAATGAAACATTTTAGGTCTAAGGGGTTTGGCTGACAAACAACAACAACAACAACAAAACTTATATCATCTTAATTCTGGAAATGTATCTTTAGATTTTTATCTTTAGATTTCTAGATTTTCTTGGGAAAACAAGAACATGATTAAGAACACTTCAACGATGCGTACCTGCACGTGTTTGCAGTCATGTCCCCTAGCAGGGAGCTGGATCCGTCGGAATGTGATTGGACACTTGAGGGACACTTTGATGGCTGTCTGCTCTACTCCATCCTCTCCATTTAGTGTGGCATTCCCAGAGGACGCTGCTACGCTACTGAAGTTTCTTTTAACTGCAGGAGAACAGACAAGAGACATTGCAAAGATTAGGGGTTGATGAAGATGATAATACAGAGTGACAGACATCCACAGATTCCAAAGAATGCAGCATCTACTTACTTTTGGTAATGCAGTGTTCGGCAGGAAGGAGCCTCTTCTTGAGGAGCCCTTGCAGAACTGATCGCACCGATGGCCTATGGACCAGCTGCAGCACGAACAAGTGCGACTGCAACAAGACCAAACAACAAACCGCTAGCAAGCATCTTCACATCAGAATATCCTTTACATGATACAGTATCTGTACCATTCAGCTTTCAGACAGGGAAGCATAAAACTGATACCAGCAAATGTAGTGGGAAGGCAGAGATCTGATTTCATATCACGTGCTGTATAACAGCTCCCCGACACGGCCACTAAATGACAGACAGATAAATTATTGAAAGGCAGCGGAGGAATACTCACACAACAGCAGGCTGTGACCGTAATCTGGATGGTGTTTCTCCCTGGCTGACACACATGCTTTAGGTGCAGGGGTTTGTGGGATGTTTTATTGTCGCCCCTCTCAATAGTGAGGGGGGTGGCGTTGACGCTGACTTGGACGGATGCAGGCCAATTGGTGTTCATTTGTCGGTCCTCATGATGATAGCACTTAAACTGCAGCTCCAGATCAGATCTGTTGGACATGAGGTGAATGGTCTAGTGTTAATGGAACAGTCCTCATAACGTTCCAACTCATACTGTAAATAAGATGTTTTGCAGAATGTTCACACTGCTATATTCCATTTAATGAAAGTGAATGGTGACTTTTCATTACAAAAGATCTTACTGACCTCAAACTTTAGTTAGTAATAACAGTAATGTGACTATGTATATATTCAAATCTAGTGGAAAATGTAGCTTCAGAAGACTTGTGACAGACCTGAATCACCATTCACTTTTATTCTATCAAAATGAGAAGCATGAACGATCTGCTAAACTTCTCCTTTTGTGTTCCACGGTAGAAAGAAAATCATACAGGTTTGGAAAAACTTGAGAGTGTGTAAATATTAATAATGATAGAAATATCATTAAATATTAAGGATGTCATTGTCAAGAGCATGCGCAGTTTATAGCAGTAACATGCGTACCTCCACATGAGCGTCTGGTGGACGGAGGGGCGCAGATGGAAGACGTGGTTACTGACGGCCAGGTTGTGCTCTAATCTGAAGGGCTCCAGCACCACTCCATCTCTCACTGGGAACGTCAAACGCAGCTCCTCGTTGGGGTTGGCTACAGGAACAAATATTGAGATTAGATGGATTCATAGTCTTCCCATGTAGACCATAGTATCAATGTGTAAGATGCTTTCAAGTTTGGCTTTCACCTCACCTAGTTTCACCCTTTCCCACCGAAGCACATGTATTATGAATGAGCTCTGAGTGGATGTGAAAAATGCATGAATCTCAGATAAATGTGCAATGGGACTTTTTTTCCCACTCAGCTGCAGGTGGCGGATCAAAGGGTTCTCAGGGGTTTATTCTGATAGACTGTGACCGAGTTTGTAATATGGACAGAGCGGAGATCAATGCAATGAAACGGTCGTGTGTGGGGTTTCTTTGCGTGACTCACTTAGAGGTGGAGGCAGAGACGTCATGTTTGGCTTCATATCTGGAGGAAACGGGGGCTTGACATCTTGACTGGGCGACATGTACGGTATACTACTTCCTGGGGTCATGGGTGGCGTGGGGTTCCCAGGAACCGGCGAGTGTGGGTAGTTCACCACCTGCCGAGGAGGCTTTAACCAAAGATATAAATGATTACTGAATGGAGTAATTTTAATAAATCTGTACATTTTACCCTGAGTACAAATGGAAGATTACACATAATTGTGTATGAAAATAAAACAATAGTTTCACCACCTACCCCATTTCCTTGATTATACCCATAACCACCTCCAGAGAAATTGTTGTTCTGACCATTAAATGGCTCTTGCTGAAATAGGAAAGAGCACACAGAGTGTAAAGCAAGAAAGCAAGATAGCTGCTATTAATATTTTATTTATTTTCTTTTACCTACCAAAAGTAAACTTGCCAGTTTAAACTGAATGTGGCCTTTTCCAAAGTGTGAGCCGAATTACACAATTTCCTCAAGAAAATTGTGTCTACTAACATTGCAAAGACCAAGCAATATGAATTTACCTTATAGTATTGGCCTATGGCTACTCCAGTAGGGGGGTACTGGCCAGAGCCCTGTTGTCCTGGCATCCTTTGCCCAGGGTAATTGGGTGAAGGAAGAGCTCTAGAAGCATTTGGGTTAGGGTACTGCCCTTGCTGGTTGGGAAACTGGCCATTGGGTCCAAACTGCTGGCCTCCATAATTAGGCTGTGAAAAAAACAGTTGGTTCACCAACACAAATAGCCAATACAAAATTAAATATTTAATATATTAAATATTTTAGCCATTGGTGGTCTTACCTCTCCTGGATAGGGCCTCTTGGTGCCCTGCATGGGCATGGACTGAGGTCTGGGTCCAGGGTAACCCTGTTGAGGCATCCTTTGGCCGTGGCCACCGAAGGGCATCCCTGGGACTCTGGGCTGGTTCATACCCATTGGCGGGCCACTCATGTTGGAGCTATTCATGCCACCACCCATACCAGCTGGGTTCATGCCTCCAGCCATGGACGGGGGCCCACGGGGCCCTGGCTGGTTCATGAACTGGTTATTGTAGCCTTGCGTAGGCCCCATCTGGAAAGAGGAGCAGACCTGTGGAGAAGGCCAACGTCAGTTCAGATGAATAAGAGGATTAATTTAGAAACCCAGGGTAGGGTAAGAAGCCAAAACCAGTGAGGGACCAACCTGGTTGTACTGGTTCATGTCTTTATTTGTCTCTTGCAAGGCTGCCACGGTTGCTGTGGCAGTAGCTGTAGCGGTGGCGGCGGCAGCAGCGACGGCGGCGGCGGCGGCAGCAGCAGCAGGTTGGGTGAAATCAGAGGGCGGTCGTGTATGAGGGGGCATGCCTATGCCACCTGGAGCATTCGGCCCACCTGGGTAACTGAGCAGAAGCAATACACAACACATAAACATCTACATCACAGCTTACACAGTCAAAAAGGTCTATTTATTGGAATAAAACTAGTTGGAAGGCCACATAAATCTTTCCTGGATTTGCACTTGGCACAGCAAGAAGGTGATATCATCCCTTTCAAGAAAAACATCCTTGAACTGAGTATTGGCTGGGCTTTAAAACCATGTGTCATGTATCACTAATGGGAGACTCTTCTATAGCTTATTGAATCTCCCAAAGTGATGCAAAGCAACTTTGTCAAACAACTTCCCATCATCCTGTCTGGAACGGCATCTCTAATGCTTGAAATATTACCTTCCACCAAAGCCTCCTCCTCCCGGGTGCCCTGGACGCCCATACATGCTTTGCTGCATGTAGGCCTGGTTGGATCCCCCTTTGGCTGAAAACTGTTGTTGTTGGCCAGGGAACTGAGGTGAGTTGATCCCTGGGTTGTTGCCTGACATACCCGTACCTAGTGCATTGCCTCCAGAGTTCATGGGATTGTTAGTATTGGCCATGGGATTACCCAAGACCTAGATCAAAAGCAACATCTGTTATAAGATCAATGTTATCACTGTTACTGTTTTCATACAGTGACACTATACGTGTGACTCACCTGACTTTGTGATGTATTGGTAACTCCCCACACCGTCGTAACCACCGACAGCGAGCCCGGGGCCTGGTTAGCGTTTTGTTGCCAGGGGACGCTGTCATATGGAAAGGACCCATCACTACAAAACAGTGTTCAAACAGTAATGTGAGATCAGGGGCATCAAACATGTGTTGAGAGAGTAAAGTTGACTCCAACACAGCCCGATAAAGAAAAGCTCCCTCTTGACTACAGAACATTAGTTTTTCCATGAAAAAGAAGCTGTAATGTTTGCGAAAGTGGCCAATCACCAGCCCTGGAGCACAAAATGTTCTATAAAACATCACTAAGCTAGAGAACTTCCTCAGCATTTTCTCTGGCAATCTATCAGTCTCTATTAACTTCTAGTTGACGTACCTAGATGGTAATGTTACGATATCATGTTTTTATCTGCTGTTGTTTGGAACATTGTGAGAATGAATTTCATCTGCACAGCCTTCATTGATGTCATGTTTACAGGGCTGTTAACAAAAGCTTGGTCAATGGCTTCTTGGAAAAGCCTCGTCTTCAAGATCACATGCCACATAAAAACAAACAATTCTGTGCTGGATGAGTGCACTAGGAGGAAATTCTGAGAAAGGGGCGAGACTACTGTAAGTTTAACATTGCTTGGAACGGCTCCAGCAAGCGTCGGGTTAGAGCAGAGCTTTGTCTGGGTACTGACCCATGTGAGAGTGAGGGCTTCATGGAGTTCATGGGCGGCTGCAAGGGTACTTTGCCCGGTGGATCGCTCTGACGATTCTTCTGATGCCGCAACAAGAGCAGCCGTCCCAGCTCCTCACACCAGGACGACAGGAGAGCTGGAGAGAAAGAGACAGACAAAGAGAAAGAGAGATCAGGAAGGATCTTTGGCACAGAGACAAATCATCTGTTGGCTAAACAGTTGGCTAACATCTTGCTTATTTTATCTTCAGATTGCTATTTAGCAGGAGCAAAACTCACTGCCAAGTATTAGCACATCTTTCCTTAACACGTTGACAATTTCAGGTGTCATTTATGTTTGAATGTCAGTATTTTTTACAGTTCAAATCTAACCTTAAGTGTAAGCAGTGATGATAGTGATGCCAGTGTTGCAATAGTGTTGTGATAGTGTTGCAAAATCTTAATCAGTTCATGTCTTTACCACTAGAGGTCACTACAATAACAGCAGCGGCACAAGCATGCTTGGGATCCTCTATAATAGCTTGTCAGTATGCATCTCATAGGATCATATGCTTTTCATCTGCAGTGCACTTTAAGCAGTGATACTACCACAGAAGACCTGTCTTCTCCTCTCGTGAAGGGAGGATGATGGAGGACGGGGAGAGAAAGAGCGAGAAATGGGAGATGAGAATCAGTGCTGAGGACAGTGAATCATGCTGGTGATGTGTCCTGGCAGCACTTTACTCCTGAGAGAGGTGACAAAACGAGCCTCTTGCCATGGTGATGGAGTCGGTTCGGGATGGCAGCAGCTGGCATGTGGCCAGATCCTGGTCTAATCGATTCTACACGCCGCACACGGCTGAAACGCGACTGCTGCATTTAAGTGCTCTTCATACAAACGGTCCTTATACTTTCCAAGTGACACTATTTAGATAAATACTCACTACTAGCTGAGTCATTCTATGACAAGAGTACCATTTGTGTCCACAACATCTGATAAAGTGCACTAAACACAAACAACTGCTATGAACATTTGACAAATACCCCATATTCAACTAATTATATAAACTAGAAAAAAGTAAACAATTTAGAAAACAAATTCTGATAATGTTAACACTTTTTAAAAAATGTTCCACCTCATCACATTTCCAATGTCACATGTTCGGAGCCCCACAAAATAATAATTTAACTTGAGGTGGCACAATGCAATTTATTAGCACTTAAAGACATTCTTTGTCTGGCAGAATATTTAAAGTCATACAGCAATGTACTTTAAAAATCGCCTTTCCAACATGAAAAAGGTGCCCGTTTCATAGAATGACTCAGAGCTGCCCACAGAGAACAAGGAAGAAAAAATATTCTCCCAAAAACTGTATCACACGCTGACAGAACAAGAACAAAAGCCAGGAACTGTTTCAGTAGTGCTGCACCTCTAGTCTTCCTTTGCCATCAAACAGATTGTGCAAGGGACCTTATAAAATATTCTCTTTCCCCTAAGACGAGTTCATACATGGAACAATACCCCTCTTTCTTCTCTAAATCTACTTCACAGACAGTAGATGAGTAAAAAAAAAAACTTATAGCTACGGCTATTTGAACAGAGAGGGTGGTGTCAAGAGTCCAGAATGTCTCTCTCAGAGTCTGGTGCAGAGAGACAGACGTCTGTCTTGGCTCTTTCCTCTCTAAATCGATCAGCCAGTAATGACTATGAAGACTGCTCAGCTGTCTCCTGCGCTTTTATTGCTGGGGGAACGTAAACCAGCACACACGCTCCTGAAAAACACACACCTCAGTCTTATTTACCACAGTCTGCACTTTAGGGATAGTTCACACAAAAATCATTTACTCACCCTCATGTCATTCCAAACTTTCATATATAGAAAATGCACAAATGAGAAGTAAGGTGGAGGGGATTTATTTCGATCAGTTCCTCACACAAAGTTGTTGTATGGAACAGTTTTTGATACTTTATGGTGATTTTTGTCATTTTTTGAGTTGGACAGGCCCTGGTTGGCATTTTTGTTTGGAAGAGGGCTTCGACCTAACATCATTTTTTGTGGTTTAAGGAAGATAGAAGGTCAAAGAGGTTTGGAACCACAGGAGGACTGAAGTAATGGAGCGGAATTTTCATTCATATTTGTGCGACATTAGTCATTTAATGCCTGTATTAATAACCATTTCAGAATAAAATTCATGGACCCTTAATGCATTGCAGAATCTGAACTGGAGTTCTTCCAAGAAACAGCTTTAAGTTATTCAATATCCCAGCGGCACCTGACGCACTTTCCCTTCCAAGTTCAAACACACAATTACAGTGAGAAAATTGCGTTTGTGTAAATATATCAAAGGGGTCTGTTTCAGAGAGAACGCTTCTCACCTCTCTGCGACAGGCGTGAAAGCCGTCCCAGCAGGATTGGAGGGGGAGGCTGGAATCACCCACCTACTTCAATGAGAATTATTCTACCCTGCCATTACAGAGAGCTTATCGGCCAGCTAAATCACTACCTCTGCATGCTGGCAACTGCTATTTTCTCACAAAAGACCAACTTAGAGCTCATAGGACAGGTTACAGCCAGACGCCGCCTGCCAATTTTCAACTGTTGTTCCCCGCCTAGCATGCCTCCCACATGTAACAAAGACTAGAGCTCTCCTGCCTGCAATTCAACCAGTAAACTCCTAATCAACACGGCACCTTCCGGCAGCGCACCATATCCCTCTCACTTTGCTGAATACAGCTACACCATTTCTCCCACAAACATCATCGCCTCCAACACTACCCACGGGGCCGTGTTGTCATATTAATGCGTAACGTTTACTGTAACGCGATCTCTCTCATCAATAGGGATGCACTGATTTTTGGTCCAATATTTAGCTCATTTACTCTTGAAATGCTCCAGTAACAGAAAAGATATCATTGAGCGTACATACAATATATTTTGCATAAACCCTGCCACACAAAGAAGCACCGGCAGCAGAACAAAATGTCTCAAGATTGGAGGAATTTCAAGACAAACGACATCTAATTAATCTGCAGTAGTCACGCCTGCATAGAACTCCTGTTGTGCAAGTAGACAACTGTGCAAGCGCAGAGGAACAGAGGAGTTTCTTAGAATTATTTGACTTAAAGTGGACAAAATCATGCATGTTTTATTATTTATTGTTTTTTTGTTAAACAGTCATGCTGTCCTTACATCCCACTGTATTTTACAGCATTACCAAATAGCAGCAGAGAGGACCAAAAGGAAAGTTTCTCTAACAAATGATGATCATGAATCCTTACTCACCAGTAAATCGGCATTAATCACATTTCTCTTTCATTCCCTGTATTAAAATGCCTCTCTCAGTCTCCGTTTTTCTTTCATCTGCATCCCTTCCCTCATTTAGTTCTGCTCGCATTGCCAGACACCTGCTCCAGAAAGGGTTGTGTTGAGTGTTAAGTTGGCAGTAGGCTACTGTAGCTCTGTGGCAATGGGCATTTCGGTGGCATGGCTGTGTGTTGGGTCTATGTCAGCGGGCATTATGGTGGCAAGGCTGGCTCACAGCGGTGTGCACCAGGCAGTGATCCCAGCAGGAAGAGACGAGTACCAACACAGAGCATAGCTCTCACAAAGCCATGCCAGACGATAAAACTGAGGTTTGCTTACACCAGCCAGACTCTAATACAGTCTGAGACTTAGCATACTTAGTGTGCCATTTATCACGACACAGCAGCTTCAAAAATGGTTGTTAAACACAGTGTAAGAAATCATTTCAGGGTGAGAACAAAGACATTAACAGTATTTACAAATCAGTGTACAGTGTCAAATTGTGTCATCATAAAACAGTTAAAATGTTTAATATAAATACATACTTTTTTGAAGAAAAGGTGGGCGGTGCTTCCAGTGTTACTGTTAACAAAAACTAAAAATTAGTCAAACATTTTTGTTAATGTAGTTAATAAAAACACAACCAGGAAAACTGACTCCAAAATGAACTAAACTAAAACAAAAATGATAACAAATGTTTTTAATATATGGTATATTCTAAAACTTGACACCCACTTTTAAAATTCAATAACATTAAACATTTTTAGATGATATCAGATATATTTTTAGATAACATCAGTATATTTTAGTGCCAAAGTTAGTGCATTAATAAAATAACTAAATAAAAAAGTACAAATAAAAGTAACAATTATAAAATAAAAGCGAAATAACTAAACTGTAAAGCCAAATAAAAAATAAAACAGTAAAAATTACATTAAAAAACTCAAACAAAACCCTCTTTAAAATCCCTACATCCTAAATATGATCAATAATAATTTTAAGACAGTTTTGTCACTCTTAAAAAGACAGCACTCCAAAGTAGCAGACAGCAACATTTGCTAAAGCTGTAAGATCCATGCAATCCATACAAGCTCTGTGACTCATATTAGCCATGTTCTGCCGTTTCTAAAGGTGCCAGACTGCAGCAGAAACCATCTTACTGAGGGGACAACAGCCTGTGGCTCTACAGACTTCTGGCAAAACAGACCAGAGAGACAGACACTACACAAGCCAACCCCCCTCCCTGTCTGCTCTTTGTCTAGAGAAGAGGCTCTCCAAGCAGGTTTAGTGGGCTTTGAATAACTGACCAGGGTAAATCCCCAAATGATCCAGTATGTAGGGAATCCAGGTCACCCTCGGTTACCCAAATCGCGTCTGAAGCAGCCCCAAGAATGTTTGCCTGTCACTCCTTCTCAGGTTGGCCGCTTCGTCTCTGCCAGCACCCCTTCTCGGCCAAACTCTCGGTTTTACTAGCTTCAATGCCTAATTATGAGCTTTTTGATTATGATGTTGCTAATAAAAGGTAGATGCCAGTAAAAGGTGGTTTGGACAAGGGAGTTGAGCTAAAATCAAGTAGAAACTTAACTGTTTAATCAAAAGGCTTTGTTCCAAAAATATATTGAGCTGCCATGCTGTCCTACTACCTACACAGGCAGCATCCTAAATGAAATGGGACCTCATAATTGACTGATTTAAGAAATCTACATAGACAACACACCTATATAAACATCACTCTGCTAGCTGATTCCAATTGAGGTTAATGTTAGCATGTTGCTAAACTAAAACACCAATATATATGATCATACACAGCACACACAAATGTTGTCTTAAGTTTATTTTCTTTTTTTTTTTCATACCATTTTAATCGATAAACTTCACTCCTGAAATTTAAGCTCACTTGCAGTAAACTTTTATTTGATTTCATCCGCCATCTTGGATTTTTTTTTTCAGAGCTTTTAACAATACATTTAAGTATTACTGTCTTGGTAAAGGATGCAGGTTTGGCTCAAATTTGGCAAAAAAAAAAAATTGGTATCTTGGAAGACAAAACATGCTTTAAATGATGCTTTAAACCCACAATGCTTCAAAATGCTAGGTAGGCAGTTCACTAGGCCAAATCTCACTAAAAGAATAACACAATCTATGTCTCATCCACTTCTTATTCACAGAATACGTTGGAATTTTGACTAGTGCAGCTTTGGAAAGTGGGAAGATTTCAAACCTCACAAGGACATCTAGAACATGAAATGTGGCTGGAATTCATAACACAAGCCATATTTTCATATGTCCTCAGAGACCTTTTTTCTCAATTTGTGAATCTGTGAGAGTCTCAGACCGATGCCACAGTGAATTGGCAGACATGTCGACAGACCTTCCTGGACCACTTAGTGAAAATACTCAACCCTGCTTGTCCACATGGCCATACTGTGTCTGCCCTTCATCCTCACCTCACTAAGCTCATCACAGCACCTTACCTGACCTCTAAAACCAACCAAAGAGAAATCCAACAGCAGATGCTGGCCATGGGCAATAGAGACCACTGTAGAAACTGTTAAAAGCTGTTTTTATTGAAAACTATAAAATGACAAACTAGCTTTTATGCAAAGCTTTCAAGTCATTCATGCAATGAAAAAAACAAAACAGAAAATGATTATGAATTTAGTTCAAGTTGCGGATAACCAGTTTATTTGAAAATAATGGTTTCCTCAGTCTAATTTTTACGAATTCCTCCTCAAATTTATCCATCCTAAATACGTCAATCTGTTAATGCAGGTCTTTTCCAGTGAGCGTAAGCAGCTTAAAGAAGAACTTCCCAACAGCCTTCATAGAGATTTGTGTAATACCGCCACACACACACCAGAAAAATGCAGGTTTGTGAAGGGAATACAAGAAAAGACTAGAAAAACACAAGCTAATAACGGTGTATACAAGGAAACATCATGCCAGAGCCAAAATTCTCACAGCTTAAACATATTTGAGATTTTTTTTTTATGTTTAACCTTTTTTTTTAAATTACTGTTAGTAATATCCATACTTAACTGACTAATAGGCATGTATGTGTTCTTTTTGCAAAAAAAGAACAACCATCGTTCACAAAGTTCAACACATTCCAATTACATGTTCGTTTATTGAAGCTGCAGTCCGTAACTTTTTTGTGTTCAAAATTTACAAAATGTATATAATAAG